GAGAAGGAAAGAAGGAGGGAAAGAAAGAGCAACCTACAAATATGGGCAAGGAGGAAAAAACACTTCCCCATTCACTTTCTCCTATATAGCACATAGAAACCAAATCTGTATGACAACTATTCAGGTTTTCAGTAAACAGCTAAATGGTGGCGCGGTGAGGGAGCTCGAGTTCGCACTCCCTGCCAGAACACCTAAAAACCCAAGCGAAAAGAACTGAATAGAACTGAAGGTCCTGAGGGGACGGAAAAGGGAACTGGTTACTGGATCCAAGGGGGGTGCAAAACACTCGGCACTCCAATTGAAACTCGACCACCTTATGCAGCTAGAGCTGGGAAGGAGCGTCGGCCTACCTGGAAGAACGGACGCTGGTGCCGCGGACTGGCGTCGGGCGCGCACCGGTGAGACTGGGGAGGCTTTGGTAGCCGAGACAGTGGACGGCGTTGCGGCCGAGGTCTCGTGGACGCTGCAGACGGCGGAGTGGCTGGGTGCCGCGGGGCCCCCCTTTCGGTTGGAGGTGGTGGGTCCCGGGGCGGCGGGTCGCTCGAGGACGCTGCCGGCGAGGCCGCAGAGTGCGACGGGGGATCCGGGGGTGGGTCTTGGCCCGCACCGGGGGCCCGGCAGTCGACGAGCGTTTCTATCGGGAGGGCAGCGACTAGCCACGAGGTTGGAGCAGGACCGGCGACCGGGCTCCCGTGGACTGAGGACACAGAGGCCGGCGGTGACTGCCGTGGCAGTGTCCCTGTTGGTCCATGAGGAGTGATTGGAACGCCCGGAAGCACTGGAAACTTTCTTGCCTGGCGAGGGAGACAGCAGCCCGGGCTGAACCTGGTGCGGAGCATGGAACTGTGAGGTGGAGGGGAGTAGAGCGCCCCTAGTGGTCGCATTTACCATCAACAGCGACCCCAGCCAAGAGATCAATGGGCGATTCCCCCCCCTTCCTCTGGCACGGGATGCAGAACTGGAGAGGACCCTGGACTGCACTCGTGGTGATCTGGGGCCTTGGAGGCAGAGGACTGCTGACTTGGTGGTGGGAAGCATAGCCTAAATTCAATAGGAAGTAAGTGGGAGGGGGGGGAGTGCTGCGATTTGGGCTAATGAACCAGGTTAATTGAATTGCTTCTATGAGGCAATAGGGGGTTTTCCAACTGTCCTAGAGGATTAAAAATGTTGTATTGCTAGGAGTGATGTAGTGTATTAGTGTAAGCTGGGTTTGCTGCTTACAATTGGGAACTTATTAGTAGCAATTGTGAGGAGGGTATGTTTAATAGGACGGGAGGGTTAAGATATACTGCCAGCATTAGATCAGCAGATCCCAGAGTACGCTGGGTAAGGGGTCATCATCCGTTAGCAGTCTGTGGCTGATGCGAAGACTGATAGGGATGGTGATGCCTGCTCAACTAATTCCGGTGCTCCTGGGGAGGGGGAAGTATAGCGGTGGGTCCAGGCATAGAATTAAGGGAAGGACACGGAGAAATGGATTGGCTCGGTGCCCTTCCAGCCTGCGACCCATCCCAAAGGTGGTCAGTGGTGGGGCAGGGATGATGGACTCCCCTCCGTCATTGGTGTTGAGCAACGGCAACAATAAGACCGCAGTCCTTCGGGACTTCCTGCTGGAGCAGAGAGTGGATGTGGCGTGCATGACCGAAACCTGGGTGCGGGATGGGGAGACTGTAACGCTCTCCCAGCTTGCCCCGCCCGGTTTTTCGGTCCTTCACCAATCACGGACTAGGGGGCAGGGGGGAGTGGCTATTTTCATTCGGGAGGCTTACTCCTTCAGAGCGCTCCCGCCATTTGAAATCATGGGCATTGAGTGTGTCGGCCTGGTATGTGAGGCCGGGGAAAGTGTGGCGATTTGGCTAGTGTACCGACCACCTAACGCACCGGCCAATAGCCTACCGTCCCTGATAGAGGCCGTATCAGGCTGGGCGCTGAAACACCCTAGGCTGATAGTCTTGGGTGATTTCAACGTCCATGCCGATGACACAGCCTCTAGTCAGGCAGCAGACCTAGTGTCCTCCATGGCAACACTGGGACTCTCCCAATTTGTAATGACCTCCACGCACTGGGCTGGGCACATGCTCGATTTGATCTTTGTGGCTGGGATGACAGTCCCCTTGCACGTCCACGTCGGTTTTGGATCATTTTGACCTGCTCAGTCTTGAGGAAGTTGACAGACTACTCATAGCTATACGCCCAACCACATGCGCCCTAGATCCGTGCCCTTCCTGGCTCATTAAAGCGGGCCATGAGGGGTTCCGAGGAGCTCTTAAGGAGATTATCAACAAGTCTCTCACTGAGGGACGATTCCCGGGAGCTCTCAATGAGGCGATGGTCTGCCCTCTCTTGAAAAAACCAACTCTGGATCCGGCCAAATTGGCCAGCTATCGGCCAGTTTCAAATCTGCCCTATTTGGGCAAGTTGATTGAGAGGGCGGTGGCGGCACAGCTCCAGGGTTTTCTGGATGACTCTTCCACTCTTGATCCCTTCCAGTCCGGCTTTCGCCCAGGTCACGGGACGGAGACGGCGTTGGTCGCTCTTACTGACGACCTCCGTAGACACCTGGATTGGAGTGGTTCGGCGGTGCTGCTGTTGCTAGACCTGTCGGCTGCGTTCGACATGGGCAACCACCAGCTGCTCGCCCATCGCCTCGTCGACGTGGGAATACAGGAACTGGCCTTACAGTAGCTTGTCTCTTTTCTCCAGGGTCGGGAACAAAGGGTGGTGCTTGGGGAACAGCAGTCCGGGAGGCGCCCTCTTGAGTTTGGCGTACCCCAGGGCGCAGTGCTGTCCCCGATGTTGTTTAACATCTTTATGCGCCTCCTTGCCCAGGTGGCTTGGAGGTATGGGTTGGGTTGTCATCAGTACGCTGATGACACCCAGCTCTATCTGATGTTGGGTGGCCAGTCGGATTCCAAACCGGAAGATCTGGACCGGGCGTTGCAGGCCGTGGCTGCTTGGCTTCGGCTGAGCCGGTTGAAGCTAAATCCTGCGAAGACGGAGGTCCTGTGCCTGAGTCGTGGCGGTGCAGGGTTGGAGGCCCCGCTCCCGGCCTTCGACGGGGCACTGCTAGTGCCAGTGCCGGAGGTGAGGAGTTTGGGGGTGCTCCTGGATGCCTCCTTGACAATGGAGGCCCAGGTAGCAGCCACTGCCAAATCGGCCTTTTATCATCTCCGGCTGGTTCGGCAGTTGGTTCCCTTCCTTGACCGCCGCGACCTGGCGACAGTGATCCATGCGATGGTCACCTTGAGACTTGACTACTGTAACGCTCTCTACATGGGGCTGCCCTTGTCTCAAAT